CTAAGAAATTACGTACCAGCAAAATACTCAAAAGAGGCTGAAATATTGAAAAGAAACACAATCTGCGAAAAGAACGAAAGCAAAATAACCAAGATGCTGCCTTGCGCTCACTAGTGTGCAATCGTTAGAGGGCGTACCTCATATTCGAGATGTCAAAGAGTTCGAATATCGACCCTTACACCGGCCCCACTGAATTTCTCAACGTTACCCTCAGTCTCCGCAGGCAACGACCTCATCAGTCACCATCTCTAAACCACCATTCACATCAAGCAATTCGAAAAACGTCTTTACGTGACCAAAGAATCGACAAATCAACATCGTTTTAAATGGCATCACAACTGCTAGATGATTCGATGTTACACGAAAAGAATATGTGAATTACGAGGCGCGTCCTCAAAGTAAGTTTCCCACTCGTCCCACAGCTAGCAAACCTTATATTGCGCGAAGCGACTGTGCGTACGTGATAGAGCAATGACGTAGCATGGCGCATGCACTAACGGAACTTCCCGCGTTCTCACAGTAGCATCGTTGCAGCTGTTGAAGATGGAGGTTCTTATTCCAGCTCCCGCCGACTGTGAAGTACGGTCAGTGATAACGCTAGGCCGCACACGGCTCGACGGACAGCAAGTCTCCTGCAGGAGTTCAGCTGGGAGGTGTTTAATCATCCACCCTACAGCCCGGACCTCGCTCCCAGTGATTTCCATCTTTTCCTACACCTCAAGAAATTCCTGTCCGGTCAGCGTCAGCGTTTTGAGAATGACACACACAAAACGTAAGACCCTGGAGTAAAAGTGGGCTAACGCGCAAAGTTGGAAAATCTGAAATAATGCAAAAGAAATGTAACATGGCAGTCGCTGTTTTTTTTATACACACGAGGGTTAAGCAACGTGTGATTCGCTGTCTTAGAAACCTGTGTCTTTCGCGGTCACAAAAGTGGAATTAGAATGATCACGACTTATCTTTTATTTTATTTTAATAAACCGTGAGTCACTGATAGGACTTGAACCTACAGATGAAAGTTTCGCTAATTATTTGCACACTCCAACAGTTTCTGCCTTTCAGAAAAAAAAGTCATGATGATTAATAACTGTTCCGATAACTAGTTTACGACAGAAACACTATCCACCGACCACGTGCTTTGTCGTCATATGGTGCGGGAAGGTGCAGGACGGTGGCTCAAAGCAGCTGACGTCTAGAAGCGCCTCGGAATATCACACTGTTTCGGTGGAATGTAAATCTCATGCAGTGTGCGGACGGGCTAAGGCAAAGTTATCCCCTACACCTGACAAAAGTGTATGAGGCAAGGCTGGCCTTGTGAGCGAAGCTCAAAGTTAAGCTGACTTTGTGATTAACTAAATACCACACAACGAAAACGTTTGAAGGAATGGAGGTACAGCGCCACACATTCTTAACCCTTTAAGACCCAGTGGTAACTATATGTACCACCTGCTTCAAACACTTAATAACTCTGCGTTTTGTATGCATGGGTTTCGGATTGTTCTCAGTGTAAACAGCGATTATTTCCTTAAACAGCGTCAACCAGTTGTCATTTTTAATGGTAAAGTGTTGTGTTTTCTTCGCGGTACGGACTGAATTCTTTATATTCAGAAGAAACTTCGGTTTCAGAGGGTTAATACGGGCCCTGCACTCAGGCGAGTGGTCGTGATCACGCCTATAGAGAAGAAGCCTCCCTGGACTGAGTAGGCCCCGGAGCTGGTGTCTACGCGGTGTTTGTCAACGTGCAAATGCGAAGGTTGGACCATGCAATAAACCTGGTCTATCAACCGACGCCATATTGGGCATCAGTCAGCGGCGCCGTGTCGGCGATAACCTAACTGGTGAGCGCCGGTGAGTTATAACGGTGATCACGAGGACGGACATAACTAGGACATTTAAATAAATAAGAACAGTGATTTCATCATAATCATCGTTTCACGTACGCGCTCTGTGGTCTGTTGCTGTCTCCTGTCGGCGCCTTCAGGGTCACCCACAAACACTTTCCTCCATTTGGTCTGGGACGGAAAATCAAAAACGGGATCCCTGGAAAAGGATGGTGGGTATTCTATTTCAATACGCATCACTCCGTTCCGTTTTAAAATTTAAAAAATTCGGAAAATGTGTTTTGTAAACTGCAATTTCAGTCGCGTTATGTGAAAACCATTCAACATTTCAGTAAAATTTCATAACCAGCGTAACTAAAAATATCTACTACCTGCTTCGACACCCAGTTACTCTCCTTTAGCACTTAAGGGGTTTTCTATCTTTATCAGCGTAAACAACAATTATTTTAAGATGGCTGTCTTCTGTGTTGTAGCCCCGTGTAGTTTTGTAGAAGTTTACAAACGCTTCAGAGGTCCTTGCTGCCTCCATCATCAAGGCGATGGGGGCGACCAGACTTCTACCAAGATTACACGGCGCTACAACACAGACAAGACAGCCTTCTTCATGTCAGTCGTTTTTCTGCGGAGATAAAAAACAAGAATAATGTCCAAAACAGTACTTAAATGATTAACTACTTATGTAACAAGAAATACTACTTCCGTCAATACGAGGCCAACTTGGAATAACCAGACCTGGTTCAGTCACTTGGATAATTACATAAAACACTGAGAAGCGTCTGCAAGCTCTTTCCTCTAATCTGTCGACAGAACAGCAGCTCTTTATTTAGATATGACGCTGAAGTCTAGTTTACGCGAGACAAAACTGACATCATGGAAGTGTTGTAACCATGCAGTTAAGCTGCACATGTCAATATACCACAATTTCAACAAACTCTGTGCACAGGCCCTTCTTGAGAAGCTTCCAGTCGCTCACACCACTGAAGAAATTCGTTGTCGCTATTCATTACGTGTTTATTTAACGACACTAACAGTAGCTCAGTAGAATTGTTGCTATCCTGAACCAGACGAATCCATAAGATGACAGCCTTCTGGTATAATGACTCCATCAACGCCGTCATGACGGAGAAAGCACATTCCTCTGAAACGTCGGTCAATTTCTACCAGACTACACGGGGGCAGTATCCCAGAAGGCTGCCATCTTCATAATCGCTGTCGTGAGAACCTGAAATCTCACCACAGCCTAATTTGCTAATAGGCTAATTACAAGCAGGCCATGAAATTCTATTGTAACAAAAAAATTTAGAACCTAAACTTAATTTGTATGGTAAAAAGTTCCTGCCATAACATTAATAAGCTATTAATCATTACGAGAGAAATTTTATCGAAAGTTATTATGTTCATAACAGCATTTACAAAGTACTCAATATTCGATAAAACAACGCATTAATTACACTTCGTAGTTTCAAGCAGTGGACATATGAAAGCCTTGTGCATCCCTGAGATTAGTGTTTGGGAGTGAAACCCCTGGTACCTACAAAATGGACGTCCGTCTACTTGAAAGCTTCAACGTCAGGTTACAAGAAGGAATTTCGAATGTGAAACAAACACCTTGAAACGACGAAAAGAAACACATTTATAACACAACACGAACACCAACACGTTAACAAACTCGCGCCGTCAGTGATTACACTATTGAGTTATTGAGGCTACTTCAGCTGTTCATCCTATCTCACTGCGCAGACTCGTGAAAGAGGAAATTGACAGGAAACTACAATCCAACATTTTTCGTTGGGTGGAACAAAGATGCTTCACTGGTTCGTGTATGACTGTAAATCATGTATAAGAAAGGAACATGTAGTTAATGCAGAGATTCCTACAATTATCAAAACACACGCACGCTGATTACAGTACGAAATCCGAGGCCTGGCTGTCTTAAGAAATTACATTCTCCAAACGCTTGCCTCCGAACAAAAACCTGGGATACAAGCAAATGTTCACTGAAAAGCTGAGAGTC